TGAGTACAGACATAGCATTCTTCCTCTCCGAAAAGAAGTTTCATCCTCAGCACTTGCTTTGATTCTTCCCTACAGACTTGAATTCTTTCCAGCAAACTTCCAAGTGGATTGATGATGTTCGGACAGAGAGAGGAAGCGACGTCATCATCATGTTGGTGGGGAATAAAACTGACCTGGCAGACAAGAGGTAATAGAGGGGTGCTGGCAGCCTTGCTTCCCTGACCAGTAGAAGCAAGGAATTGCCCAACTAATCTGTCTTCAAAACAATTGTTGATTTTTAAATGAAGCATAAACAGCTAGTCATGAAATGTGGATTTCTGGTTTCAGCATATGCAAAGTTACTCCATTTTGCCATTCTACAAATAGTTTTGGTTAAAACAAACCCACCTAAAAAAATCCCTTTTACTTAAATTAAGTAACTACATGCTTCTCAATAGTGTATTTTGTCTCATTTTTCTTTTTCATGCTGATATAAAGCCAAAAAGATGTCTTGCAAAAGGAAGGAAATCTGCCTTTTTTCAATAATCCTATTTACATGACTCTCTCTGCATGTGCAACTCTAACTTCATAGTAAAGTTTCTTCTTGTTACAGGATGTAGCATGAGCTTTTACAGAATCAATCTAAAATGTTTCCCTCTGAGCCTATATTCATGTCATCCATAACGCAAACTATGACGTTGTGGATATGAGAGAAGAAAACTAGATTACCAAAAGCAGGCTTCCCCAAGAGATGTAAGAAGTTAATTAGACTCTTAAAATTACACAGACTTCATGTTTGGGACATGTCATAAAGCATTTTGCTTTTAAAACTCTTAATCCTACAATGCCACTTCAACATAACCAATGTATAGCTTCTCAGAAGACCACGGGCTTGAGCTTTTGCATTTTTGTTTCAAATCCTTCTCTTGATTATAGTTTTAGCAAAAATTTTGTTTTATGTCTTCTGAGATTTTCATTCTTTATGAAAACATCAGAAACAGTATAGATAAGGAATGATTTTTATTTTAATAGTATCAGTAGTAGTTGGCAAAGGGAAGATGGAGCAAGCCATGCAGTTCCTTAAAGTTCCAGTACTTTAAACTGAAACATATTCACATACACCAGGTACTCTAAAATGTGTGCTTTGTCTGTCATAAGACATACAAAGTATTGTAACGATGGGGGATTTCTATCTGATGCAAAAGAAGGCATCTCAAAAAGACAGAACTTGGAAACACTTGGATCTCACAGTGAAATGTTGTCTTATAAAATCAAACCCCTTATCCTTTGGCTTTTTGCGAGACACTTCTTATCAAAAGATAACAGCTTGAAAAGCCTTACAGGTGAAACATAAATGTTTTCTCAGAAAAATCTTGCACTATTATCTGAACTGCCTGTTTGTTTACTCTGTTTCTTGGGATGATGTGCCTTACAGGGATCTGACTGTTTCCCTGTTGGATGCTATCACATTTTAAATTCTAAACCTTGCTTTACTCCTGCAGTGTACATATTGCTTCAATATGTATTGTGATGTTTTTTCCCTTGTGGTTTTGGTGTTGTCCAAATGCTCATATGAGACAATAGCCAGCATTCCTGGCTGCACAAACTGGTGTCAGGAGATGCTTTTTGCCCTTTGTTCCTGTACAGGTCATGCTGTTAGTTTTTAGTTTGTCATGCCTAGCAGGAGAAGCATAGGTATTTCTAATACCAGTAGGTGGTTTGAATCAGTGGGGAAAAGGATAAAGTTAGGCTCTAACTAGGTGCTGTGTGGTCTTTGTACTACTGACTCTTACAGAAATGTGTTCTGTGTCCACCATGCAGACCACCTTAGTCTTGACAACTATTTGGTTTTTTCTATTTCCAGTGGGGGGCCATTCTAAGTGCCCTGTGCCTTGCACTTCGGAAATGTTGGTAAAACTTGGTGCTGAGAGCTTCAGAAATATGATAAAAATGTGTATAGCTGATTTGGATTAAGAATTCCAGGTGGCGAGACCTCAGATCAGTCTGGTCTCTGAAATCAGCTTATAAAAGCAACATAGCAAAATCCAAGATGTTCTACTTGAGCTAGCTCTGGATGTTGACCACTTACTATCTCTTATGCCCTGCTGGGAGCTGGAAATAATTGCAGCTCCCTAACTGAATTACCTGGCATTTAGATTTGAGGGTTTCTAATTTCTATCAAAATCCAATTTCATGTGGAACTGGAAAACCCAATGGGATAATTTTAGCTTTGGATTATTTCCTGATAGCACATAAGTGGAGTGTATGTGGAGGACAGCTGGCTCAGCATTGCCAAAAATTAAAAATACCAGAAAATTCTTTGAAATGTAGCTACAGTTGAAATTCATGTAGCACTAGAAATTCTTAATTTAGGAGTTTAATGTAAGTGACAGTAGTCCTGGTCTAGGCTAGAATTTGGATTTATGGTGTATATCCAGGTATCAGTAAAAGAAGCTGCCCTGCCTTTCTTTTAAATGGAAGCTAGGATCACGTTCAGCTGAAATACCGGGCCTTTTAAGGCTGGACAAAGCCACAGTATAAGTCTGAGCTTGGTCACATTTTTTAAAATAGAATACAGCATATTGGAAGCCATTCATCCTATGGTGAAAACCAAGTGATGATGCAAGATAAGTTCTGAGGCCAAAAAGCTGAACTAAAAATAGCACTGTTCTTATTTGGTGCAGCCTGTTAAGTTTTTCTTTCCTGCTAATGTTGCTTCAGTTGGTGGCTGTTTTTTTTCCTGCAGTTTTCTTTTTATTATTTTTGGACTATTTTTCTTTGTTTTGGTTTTTCTTTTCTGTGATTTGTTCTCGTTGCTGTAGACAGGTTTCTATAGAGGAGGGTGAGAGAAAAGCCCAAGAACTGAATATGATGTATATTGAAACCAGTGCTAAAGCAGGATATAATGTGAAACAGGTATGTACAGGGTATTGATAAGAGATGCGTTTGCAGGTGCTTGCTCGCAAGCAGCAGCCTAGAGCTTGGTGTTGCACTGTACTTGCTGCTGGAGCCTTTCTGAAATCTTTCTGTAACCTCACGGAGTTCCCTTCTGTTGACTTTTGGGAAACTGCTTTTTGTATCAGGTGCAGCCTATGGGGATTCTTCCTTTCCTTGAGGATGCTGTGAATGAGGCTCAAATGTACTGCACAAACTTCATCCTGTGCTGATCATCTGTTATTAATAGCCATAAGTCCAGGCATTCCCTGGGTACCTTACCTGAGGTTGTCTCATTCTTAGCTGGAGGACCTGGGAGTCTTAAAGACTCAGAGGTCCTGAGGCCTCCTTTGGTAGACGATGCTCTCTTGTAAGGGGTGGTGAAGTGGCCCTCCACAGAAGAGCACCTCAGTCACAGACATCTAACTCTTCCTGTCTGTTCTTCCTTTCTGTCTCTCTCCTTCTGTTTGGATCTTTGTCCAGGCAAATCACTACAGAAGAAGGCGAACAGAGAGCCAAAGAGCTGAATGTGATGTTTATTGAGACCAGTGCAAAGACTGGATACAATGTGAAACAGGTAGATCAATGTTATATTCTAAAGACAGGAAATCTGTACTTTACTGCTCTGTATGTCTACGCTTCTGCTTGGAGTTCATGTTCCATCAGATATTTGCTTGTATTGTTTACTGTTAACCCTTGAAATGCTTCTTGCCCAATGATCACTGCTGCAGATTTGTCTAGTGGAAGCTCCTTTCCTGTCAAGTCAATGTGTCCCTGGTAAAGCTAAGCAAACTTACCTTGAATGAAATAAGAATCTAAAACCAGAACGTGCTGAGAGATAGGAATGGCACTGTTTTGTGCAGCCAGTCAAACGTAATTTTGTACATTCCCTTTGCTTTTGTTAACAGTTAATGCACTGTTTCCTAAAATCAATGCTGACATCAGTGGGGATACCTGGTTATGCTGATGCACTAGAGGAGAGGTTCCTGCTTCTGTTTGCAACCCACAAAGGAAAGTCTTAGAATAGTTGAGATTGGAAACAATCTCTGGAGATCGTCTAGTCCAACCCTCATGCTCTCAGAGCAGACTGCCAGAACTGACTCGAGTTGGGTTTTGAATAAAAGGGATAGAAGTAAAAGGATAGAGATTCCATCTCTCCAGGCAAGCTGTCACAGTGTTTGGCTATCCATACAGTAAAAAAAACTTTAAATGTTTTTCTTATGTTTAAACAGAATTTCTTGTATTTCAGTTTGTGCCCATTGCCTCTTGCTATAAGCTCGTGATCCCACTCTCCATTAGTTCAGGAATCGTTCTGAAGAGTGACAGAACTTGGGAAGTAAGGCAGCCGTATGGTCCAGGGCTCTGCAGGGAGCATGAGTACTGTTTGTGTCAGCTAGGAAACATACTTACCTGTTTGCTGCACACGAACTGGTTAAGAGAACCTCACAATGGGATTAGGAGACATTGGGTTTGTGTCTTTTGGCTAGTCTGAATTGAGTCCACTGTAGTCTTTGGTTCTGACTTACTGTTGCTTTATTTACCTAGCGGGTGTTTGCAGTGAGAACTTCTGTGACTAAAAGGATGCTAACTGCAGCACCTTACTGGTACCTCACTGGCTCGGTTTTCCAAGTACCACAATTTGGAGGTCTGGATGAGAAGCCCCTACCAAGCTACTGTGAGAAGAGTCATCCTTAGCTGATGATTGCTCTAGTTCCTTATGCAGCACTTTTCACCAGACTGCCTGGCAGTGTCTCTGTTGTGTTAACTGCTGTATTAATGTCAGCAGGAGGAGCTCTAAGCATTGACTTGAAAAATTATGCAAAAACATTTTCTGTTTTTATTGGGATATGATAGTCCTTCCCAGCTCTAGTGCATCCCAAATAGCTTAAATGCAGCTCACTTGAGCCAGCTGTTCTGCTCAGAAATGGCTGTTTTGCATCAGGACTGAACTGAAAGGATGGGCTGTAAAACCGCAGTTATTCCATAGATTTCTTAAACCTTTGGTCTCTTGAGGTTGCTTATCAGAAGTCTGGAGTTTTGCACTGTAACATTGCTGTGTGCAAAAGCAGTTGAGACTGGAAATGGTAGATGACACGCTTACTGAGTACAGGAGGGAATTGTTCTATGCGTCCCTGGAAGAACTGCTACTAATTAATACCATGTCCTGTTGAAGTAGAAACAGGTAAAATAAAACTGTCTGTTTTGTAGGCATTGAATAACTTCTTTAATAAAACCCGTTAAATTTCTTAGGTAAAATTCTCGTGTCATTTGTTGATCATTGCTTTGCTTGCTAAAGTACCCACATAACAAGTTTGTATAATTCATATTCTACGATCTGCTGTAAAGCAATGGTTTTTAATATGCATTTTTTTCCGACAAGCCTTCAGCTTTACCTATTGCTACTTTTCAGCTTTTCCGTCGTGTGGCTGCTGCCTTACCTGGGATGGACAGCACACCAGAGAAGAGCAAAGAAGACAGTATCCTTGCTTTTTCATCAGTAACTTTTCCTGGTCTCACAGAATTTGACAATTGTCTTTTGTCAGATTGGGCTTACTGACTTTTTAGCACGTTGTGGGGATGGGCCTTACTGGGGTTTTGCAGAAATACAGCTGAAACAGCCAGTATAGTATGGTGCTTACCTATGGGCAAAAATCGAGGACCCTGCTTGTGGTCTATATATAAATGTACACAACTACTTAAAACAGCAAGCACAAGTTTTGCTTTCTTTCTCCACTTAAACTTAGGATAAAATTTGCAAAGTTTTAAAATACCGTAATACTTTCCTCTTTTTGCACAGGGCTGCCTTGTGTGCAGACCTGTCCAGTTGGGCTCTATCCTCTAAATCGTCTTGATGTAGTTTTGCAGTTAATCCTGTTCAGGCAGGATATGCTTTGCTCTTCTGAAACACCTGCGGTTATCAAGAAGGGACAGCTAATAACCTTTTCAGATACTGATCCCTTTCTCTGTTCTCTCCTCCTTGTTTTTCCTTCAGCCGGGTGATTTTCTTAACTTGTTTTCTGCAGTGATTGACATCAAACTAGAGAAGCCTCCTGAGCAGCCAGTAACGGAGAGCGGGTGCTCCTGCTAACAGGCCCGTTCTGTAAGCAGCACATTCCCCAACCGGCCAGTCTCACTGAAGAACATCACCGCTCATTGGCTAGGCAACCCTACTTTGTGGGCTGAAAAACCAATCTACTAAGCGAGCGAACTCCCTGTTTACTGGTGGGGAGCAGCCCCGGCCGCCCCTCTTACTGCATGGTATGAGCCCTGAGTGCAGAATGAGTGTCCTGTCTTTTATTTTATTTTTTTATGTTGTTGCACTTTGGCACTGTGGTGCCCTTTACACTCTCTCTATCCTTCTCCTTCTCCCCCTCTTCCCCACCTTGAGCCTGTCTGCTCAGATGTGTCCTGTGAATGCAATGGAAAAGCCACCAAGTTAGGGAAGACAAAAATAAAGCTTGGGGGTGGGCTTTCCACCTTCCTTACTGCCTTGCATCTTAACTAGTTCCCTGTCCACTCCAGCCCTGTCTTTGTCCTGCATCCCCACTTCCTCTATTAAAAGGCTGCTCCTCTTAAACCAGTCAGTTTGACTTGGCCTTGCCTTTTTGGACAATACAGGTTATCTGTTTCTAAGCTTTTGCTTCCTGCAGGGCACACACAATATTAGCTCCTCAGTTTCTCCTTTCTGTGGATGATCTTGGCTAACTCTTGCTCACGACTTTTGAGTTTTGCCCCTTGTTACACACAGCACCGGAAACCCCCAAACTCTGATAGCTTTGGCCTTGTTGCTCCCATTTGTGTAGCAGAGACGTCCCACAGACTGCTCTCCTCAGTTGGAATATCTTCCCATCCAGAGGGTGATGGTGCTCGGTGAGTGTTGGCTGTCAGATGTGGGGAAGGAAGAGGGTACAGAGGCTTTGCAGCACAAAGCTGGGTGGGGAGAGATCCTCAGGGTGGTTTGTAGAGACCTGGGTCCTGCTTGTCAACAGTTAAAGCAAACAGTTACCCAAAATCCATCACTACAGGGGAAATACCTGCCCTGGGAGTCATGGATGGTGTTCAGGTTCCTTTCCTAATCTCTGTTCTCCTGTTCATGGTCACATAGATTGGGAGGTTTTTCATGCAGAGCGGGAGAGCTGCAGCAGATAGAAGGCCAGCGATAGCTGTTCTGCTCTCATACCTCGGTTGCTGCTTGGTGAAATCGTACATAGCTGCTTCTGCCTTTGTAGTAGACTTCTGGGGGATGGGGCTAGTAGCCATTTCACTTTTGAAATAGTCTTAAGCTGTAACATTGCCAAAACTGAGATGAGCAGTGGCAGGGATTTATAGTCAGACCTGGGTAGAGGAATGGAGGAATATGTGCTGCTGAAGTGAATTTTGGTGTCACCTCTTGACCAAGGTTGGAAAATAGGTCCTCTTCCCCCTGCCCCTGGTTTCTCATTACGTTAATAGAGTTTTTCAGAGACTCTTGCTGGGGGGTTTTCATGCATCTGTCCTAACCAGAAGTCTGTAGGTTTGTTGACAGGGAGGAGAACAAAACAGTTGGATGGCTCTAAGCCATTCACTGTTCTTTTCATCACCCGGCCTGTGTCATGCTGACAGGGGGGATGCTAGTGGGCAGGAGAGCAACTGACGGCAGTGTGACGGGTGGGGACAGCAGCATTTGGCGGTCAGTGACACTGCCCTAGCAGGATCCCTGCCGGTCACTGACACAGTGTGCGCACTTTGAAGCCTGCAGGCCCTCGAGGGAGGGGAAGGGGCAGCCTCGGACCAGGACCTGGCAGTCCCTGTGTTGGCAGCAAGTCACCTCGCTGCTGGTGACTGCCTTTTTGTTCCCTAGAGCTCTGTCCCTTCCCCTCTGGGTGAGCTGGCCTGCAGGAGGAAGCTGGGATGTTGTTTCCCATTTCACTCTGGAGTGTCCCCCCCCTTACCCACAGTCCCAGCTGGCATAGCCAGGTCCCAGCGCCAGCCCCCCTCCTCTGTACATACCCCTTTTGTGTGGGAATTGCTGATGTTTGTCGGTGTGTCCGTGTCTGCTGTAGAACAGGTTTTGCTGTCCCCTTCTCACGGGCAGGTGTGCGCTGCTCTGCTGTCGTGTTGTTCTGAGTCACGGACCTGGGGGAGGGAGGGGGGAGACCCTACGTACTGGGGGGGTAACTAGTGAAATAAAATAGTTCACTTCCCACTGTCTTCTTTATGGATGTGTATAATATTGAGTGTGTGTCTGGCCCTGCTGTCTCCTAGCTGTTAGCCGAGTAAGTGTGACTATTAATATGAGTATGGACTGTCTGACCACAGCCGTGTATCACACTAAATAAAGTTATTTCACCAACACCTTTGCTGTCCTGCTGCCGGAGGGGGGGCTTGGGCTGTCTCTGCTTATTTTACTCCTGGGTTTGACAAGTCTGTCCCAGTAGGGTGTGGTGGAAGAAGGATGAGCTTACCAGCTGTAAGCCTGGTTTTGGGAGGGGGGTGAGAAGAGTCACAGGAGGGCCCTGAGTGTGGCAGGGGGCAGGACTGCATGGCCTCCCCTCAGTGCCAGCCTTGGCTCCTGCCAGGCTGAGGGGGTGTCACCAACCTGGGAGCACTGGTGGCCCCAGCTCCTTTTTCACTTGAGGAGGTATGACAGGATTCGCCTCGCCATGCCCCTGTGAGCCCCTTCCTCCCCTTGATGTGCAAGGTGTTTTGGGAACCGAAAGGCAGTGCTCAGCCTTGCCGGCCACAGGGGACCCCCATCCCACGGGTACCCTGCCAGGGAGGGGTACATGGTGTGGGGTGGGAGAGCCTGAACTGAGCCATTGGGGCTCCCCGTGGTGCCGCATCAACTTCCCAGACATGCCACCAGAGATGGTCTATGATGTGCTGCATGACATCGTGTGAGTATCGGTGGAAGTGGGACACTGAGATCATCAACAGGCGTGACATCATCTGGCTGGCTGCCAGCGCTGACGTGGGCTGCGGTGCCTGTGAGTGAGGGGCAGAGGCCCGAGGGGGAGAGGGGATGGGACTGGCTTACTTCCATGGAAGTCTTGGGTCGTGTTAAGTAGAGGGGCCACCCTGTCCAGGCTGCTTTGCAGGAGAGAGGTGTTTGGGGTACAGGACACCGCTTGGGACCTTTGCTACAAGAGGCAGTTAGCACCAGTGGGGCTGGGAAGGGGTAGGGTGGGTGCTGCTTGGAGGAGATGGTGAGGCCACGATGTGGACTAGAGGAGGACACTCGGGCTGGGCAGAATCCCTGGAGTGGCTATGTGTCGGTGTGGACCCCACACGCTGTTCAGGCAGGCGAAACAACTTCCATTTCTCCTTGTTCAGGGCGGTGCCAGAAGCCCTCAGAGAACAGGGATGTGGTGACAGTGTGATCCTGGCTGGTCTAGGGTGGATATTACACCACTACCAACTCCATCAAACACCTGGTGAGTGAAGAGTGGGCTGGGCTAGAAGGCTCTCCCATTACAGTAAGCCCGTGGACTGGAGGGTCCTGGTAAAGGCAAAAATGCTGTCCTAGGGTTGGTGAGCAGCTGCATGAATTCACCTGAATTAGGAGTCCAGGATGGTCTCTTCAACCAGGTACGGCACTGGCTCCCTTAAAGCTGAGCTACACCCAGTCGGTGTCAGCCTCGCAGAGTGCAGCAGTCTATCTGGAGACAGCAAGATCCTGCCTGTGCCTGGGACAGACTGGGATCCCAGAGCCCCCAGCATGTAGTTGTGTAATTCCTTTACGTGTTCTCAGCCTGAGGCAGCTCCTCCGTGCCTCCAGCCTAGTCTTTGCCCTGTACTTTCAATGTCAGACCTGACAGAGGGAGAGGGCAGGGAAAATGGCAGACAGCATCTGACCATTGTGTCTGCACAGAAAACACCCTCCACGCAAGGACCTGGTGAGACCTTTTCTAAGCTTCCATGGTTGTTTCCCCCTGTGCTTCCCTGCTCCTGACCAGATGTTAAAGAAACTACACGAGGCCTGTGTGAAACACCCTGCCTGGAAGCAGCAGCACAACACACAGGTGAAACCCTGGCTGTACCCCGAGCAGAACCAGCTTCCTCTCTCTGTGCTGTTGGAGCTGGTGCTACAGCGTGCCACCTCGCTGGAGAACATCAACAAGAGCCACCTGTCTGAAGCAAAGGATGAGAGGGACAACCACAGCGGTTTGGAGAACTGATGCTGCTCGCCTCGCTGCAGGGAGGAATGTTATGTGATGCTGCTCAGGCTCATCCAGTCGTTTACAATAAGAGGTGGGGGGAGCTTTTAAAGAAAATCTCTGGGTTTGTAGCCTTTTCGCTCATGATGTGACTGTCTGAGACTGAATGGGGCCAGGAGCACACGGGTGGCCTCTCCCGACCTGGCTGAGTTATGCTCAGGCAGAGGAGCTGTGTGGTACCTTTCTCAGGTGAAGCCTGCCATGCTTTAACACAACACAGCTTGTTCTGGGACTGTTGCTCCGAAAGGTCAAGTAACCTGCAATACCTCTGCCGGTCTGCTTCCCTGGCCAGCAAGTTACCCGTTGCCAAACTAAAGCTGCTCCAATGCTTGTGACTCTTGGCCTCTATTTTGCAAGCCGCTAAAAAAATCCGATGTTGCTGGACCTGTTGTTTTCCCAGCAGGGATCAGTAACTACCCGTTTGTCCCTCCAGTTCTGGAGGATGAAATGGACTGTGGTGGCCAGTACAAACCGTGTTACTGCTTTGTCAGTTAAGATACTTAAGACATGAATGTGTCTTGGGAAAGAATCTACTCTTTCCTGTTAGCCCACAGCCAGTCACGGGGTCAGCGCGATGGCTGCAAAAGCACCCAAGTAATTATCTCTGAGTAATGGCAGGGAGGAAGCTGCCCAAGGCAGGGGAGATCTTCCCGGAGGTCCTGCAAGGGACTGCTCTGAAGTAGGATTAAGATTGAATGTTGAGGTTGTATTTGCAGTCACCTCGACTTGACCGTTGGGTTGTGTGCCAAAAACCTGACACACGTGCGTTCAATGGCTATTTTCCACCAGGCAGAGCACAGGGTTGGCTTTGGGGCCAGGGACTGCCCACCAAACCGTCACCCTGGCACATCTGAGCACAACTGGGGGAGAAGGGAGGATGGAGCAGTATGAAACGTTGCCTTGCTGCAACCTAAGCATCATTGGAAGCACCAAGGAAGATGTAAATGCTGGGAAACTGGTGTGAGACTGGAGAGGCAAATGTGGAAGTCTCCATAGAAGACCGCCTAGCTTATCTGCTCAGGGTGTTACAGTGGCGCTTCCCAGATGCTTATTTCCCTGGTAGAAAAGCTGAATTTTTTAAGTCTCCTTTCTAGCGTTTTTTCTTCTCTGCTTCAGCCTGGCTCGGCCTTCTGCCCAGCGGCTGAGCTATGAGCAACCTGACTGGCAGTGCTGCAGTTGTGTCAGGGCTGCTGCTCTTGGCTGCCTCAACCAAGCTGTGTTTGTGCCACCACAGACAAAACCCTCCATTGCAGCAGTGCCGAAACACTGCTCCGGGCTGATTAAGGGCTGACTTCCATCACAGTCAGTGGAAAAACACCCTTAAAACAGAGCTGCACCTCACGTGGGTCTCATGCCTTCCTCCTACAGGCTGCAAGGGCAGCTGGAGCCAAGCCTTGTCCCAGCTGTTCACCTGGCATTTCCCCAGGGTGGTGCTGACAAACAGCCCTCCAGGGAAACTTCCTGAGCAGGAATAAGATGAAGTCTGGTTGCTGTACTCGTTTTATTATTTCAGTTATTACAGATAAGCAGAAAACACTGCACAGAAGGCCAGAGCAAGAGCTGTCCTGATCCCATTTACAATGTGACACTACCACGCATTTGCACCCAGATTTGCTGATAGCTACCATGTTTTCATCTGTGCTCTCCCAGCGCAGGGCACAGCAGCCTTCTTCCCCCGGAGAAGAGAGAAGGGGAGGAGTTTACCTCAAAGTTGGGGGGAGTTCTGATGGGAGCACATGACAGGGACAGGGCTGTGCCAAGTGAAGGAAGAAGGTTCAGCAAGTGAAACCCTTAACCATGCAAGCACCACACCTGAGGGAACCTGGCCAAGTGCCCGCAGCAGTTCAGAAACATGCCCCAAGCACCTCGGTCCTGCACCATGGGGGTCGTTAAGCAGCAGAGAGGTACAAGCATGTCTCGGCAGACTAGTGCAGCTAGAGATGTGCTCCGAGTTTGAGTGGATTTTACTCGTTCCTTGAGTCTCAAGCAAACCCAGTAGTGTAGAGCAGAGGTAGGACAGTGGAAAAGGAAAGGATTCACATCACCAGAGAACTGAACAGGTTGATCTTTTGGAGGACGGAGGCCATGCTCTCCTCAAGCATGCTCAGACCTTGCCTTACATCTAGCAACGAGGGTTGGATCCAGAACCAGCAGAGCACTGATTTAATTTAAGTCCTGCTAGAAAAGAAGCGCAGATCTTGCTGGAGAAGCTGCCCTCTGGTACCTACTTCCAGATCAGCACCATCAGCTTGTTTCAACACCCAGTTCAAGGAGTACAGACTAAAGCCCCATCCATCTTCCAGCTAAATAAGACTCTGTTGACACGCCTCCATGCAGGAAGCAGAGCTGGTGCCTGTACAGCCAACAGGACAGTTGTACCACCAGTGACAGCTGAAACTTGATTTGTCATCTCACATGTTGAGGAAAAGTAGTGGAGAGTTTTTTGCAGGACAGCTACTCTGGAGACCCAGGAGACAGCTGCCTACTAGTGAACAGTTCTTTCCTTCTGTCTC